CCCCAAAACCCCAAAACCCCAAAACCCCAAAACCCCTATTTTTGGCTTAATATTGAAAATTAATGAATAAATTTTATTTACTTCTGTCTTTTGAATCTATTTAGCACATCGATAGGTATTTCCTTCTCTGGGATTTTGTTCTGAACTACAGTGCCATTCTCCTCATCAAAATAGATGAACTCTGTATTCTTGAAGTTGTTGCCTCCTAGTTGATATCTTTTGTAAGTAGAGCCTATGTCTTCTCTTTCAAGGTTCCTAGAAAATAACGGGTTTAAGCGTACCTATCCTCCCGTGTTCTTCTAGAGTAATTACTTTCAACTGATTCTTTGGTAGAGAATTGCTTCTTTTTGTTATTGTGACGGTTAGGAGTGGAGTATTTTAGAGCCCTATGCTTTGTAATGAAGCACTTACCTGGTCCTTCCAGAGACACTACCACAGACATTCCGATAGGCCTTTGGCTTATCCTTCTTCTGTGTGGCTTTCTTCTGGTCAACCATTGCTTGCTTGGCAGGAGCATCATAGATGCTAGCCATGACCTTCACAGGCTTTGTTTTGGACACTATCTGATATCTTGGCTTTACGTATGTGTAATTATCCTCATTCAAATCTTTGTTAGTGGTGTGATTCACCGAACTGTAGTTCTTTGCAAGTTGTAATTTTTCTCGTTGCTCGTTTAATTGTTGAGTCAGTTCTTTCCTTACAGCTGAACTTTTAGTATCCTGATATAGAGAGGAAGAATGAGAGTTTGCCTTCTCATCGTAGTCAGGAGACAGCAAGACTTCTTTAGATCCCTTGATTTTAATATTTTGTTTATAAACACTATTCTTGATATTTGTCAATCTTTCTAGTGCTGAAATGTTGAAGTCAAGAGGAGCTTCATCAGAGTCTTTTTCGAAGTTTTGGAGGCTATCCTTGCGTGTATCTTGAGATCGATAATTTGTCCTAGCACTGTACTTCCTATGTGGATCTTTACCCTTATTCTTTGGGTCGTTATAAGCTTCACTAAATTCAGAATCCCTGGAAAGATCAATATCATGAATGTTATTGCTCTCCACAAAACTTTGCTCAAGTTGTTGAGCCTCTTGAGGAATTGAAGAATGATGGTCAGGAAGTTCAATAGTAGAGATCTCGCTGAACTCCTTATCCCTTGGTGTAGTTGTTCTGTCTTTTTCTTTAATATCTAACTTGAAATTATCATTGTAGTTGTGCAATTGGTAGGAGTCTTTAAGATCGCTAGTGACTCTACTTGATTTCTGCTGCTCCTTGTTTTCAATCTTCTGATGATATTTTTGATATGGAGAGACATACTTGTCACTGTAGTACTTCGAATCTTGTTCGTAATCTATCTCTCGATTAGATGGAGACCGCTTAGATACTATATATTGTTAAGCTGAAGAATACCAATTAAAATATTTTTCTTTGCTCTATGTTCCATCTCATCAGAGTTTTTAGAAGGTTCCTCCAGTGTGCTGAATTTGCTTTCTAAGCACATCAATGGGTTGAGACATGGAGGAGGACTCCTTGGGGCAGCTGGAATGTTCTTCTTAGAGGAATTTTTGTGTGCATCAAATTTATTGAACAATACTCTTGCAAAGATGCTCTTCTGCTCTGAAGGTATTTTCGTAGACTTATTCAAGAGTGGACTCTTGGCTTTTCCATCTTTTAGGATCTTAATATCTTTCTCAGGTGTTTTCAGGTGTTTTATATCAAAATTAATCGCACTTTTGTTAAACTTCGGAGTCTGTTTTTCAATATTCAACAAAGAGTTGTCCTTGTTATTCCCACTGAACTTGTTCCTAATATTCTTAAGATGGTCCACAAGGTAAGAATTCTTAGTTATAGCATCATCTTTTTCCTTCTCTAACCTCCTAATAACTTCCTGTTGGTCTTTATACCTCTTCACCAAAAGTTCAGAATCTTGCTGATTCTGCACTTCAATCCTCTTCTCACCCACCTGCTGTTGCTTCTCTAACCTCTCCTTATACTCCTGCACTCTTCTCTCAAGACTCTCCACTCTCTCCACCCCAGCCCTCTCCTTCCTCATCTTCTCAATCTCCTCCTTCAGCACACAAATTTCCTCTATAAAGTTCAATTTCCAGCTCCCTTAACAAAATCCCCAGCCGCCAACTTACCAATAAATTTTTGTTCCTTATTCTTCAAAATTTTAATTTGGCCTTGACACTGCTGAAGTTCTTCCTCTGTTAAACTTTTGTACGTAGGATCTATAGCTGTTTCAGAGATGTACAGAAGGGATTTTGTGAAATATAATTTCTGGTAGTACCTGAGATGAGTAACTCAGGTGTGGGTTCAGGTAGTTTTGGGTTAAGAAGAGATGTAGAATTAATGTAAATGGGTTCTGGGGTAGATTTAGGTGGGGAATTGGGGAGGAGATGGGTTTAATGAAGGGATTTTGTGTGAGAGGAGGAATGGGGGTAGGAGGGGGGTTGGGGAGTTAGGGGACTTACTGGTGGGGTTGAGTGATTGGGAAGGGTCTAGAAGGGGTTTTGGAGGGGGGATAGGGTCTGTTTGGACTTGGGTGTGGGTGTAGTTTGAGGAAAGGAAGGATTTTAGGTTTTGGGTGTCTTCGAGGAGTTGGGTGATGGTTTGGTGTAGATCAGCGTTTTGGGAGCGAAGGGTTTGGTTGAGGGATCTGAGATGGGAGCAATTGGGGCAAGGGGTTGGTTCAGGATAAGGGGATGCACTGGAGGTGGTGGAGAAGGAGTTTGAGAGGGCAGAGGAGGTAAAGAAGGGGTCAGGGGATTCTGAGAGGCCTTTAGAGTTGAAGGATGGTATTGAAGTGGTTTTAAGGCTTTTATCAATATTTTCGGAGGTTTTGGATTTTTCTGAATTATTCAATTTTGTTGAAGTTCAGGAAGTTTTCTGAGCGATTTCAGGTGTTTCTACTCAATAATTGAACGCTTGCTTTTTGGAATTGAGTGATTTATTTCTCTCAGTTTTGCCTTGCTTCTGACAAAGAATATTATCCCTAGCTCTGTCCTCCCATGTACTTTGTAATTTTTCTCAATTATAAGGAGTCCTGATGTAACTAGCACTCTTATTCACTGCTAATTTACCAAATTTCCCTATCTTTCTACCCTCTCTCTTCTTACCAGCATCACTATCCACCTCTAAAAATCTACTCTCTCCATCTCCAATCTCCTCATCCGTCTTACTCTTACCCCTATACTCATACTCCACCTCGCTAAGCATCGATCATGGCGTGAGCTCTCCAATCGGCTGCTCCTCCACAGATTCCTGCCCTTCCTCATTCTCTATAATTCCTGCCTTATATTTCTCATCTATAAAGGAATTTAGTGGTGTTCATGGCTTGAAATGTAGAATAAAGCGACAGCTGACCAAGGTGCCGGGGAGAGAGGGATTAGGGTGCTTACCTCGGTCATCAGAGATTTCAGCAGAGTCTTCTATGACGATGTCTAGGTTTTTGGGAATTCTGTTGGGGTTTTGGTCGGTTGACATTTTTGGAGAATTAAAATTTATTTGTTAGGGTTTTGTGGCAATTTTTTTGTGAGAGAAAGGGGTTTTGGGGTTTTGGGGTTTTGGGG